CGACGCCTTCACTCGAAACTCAAATGCTTTTCAACTTCATACTGAGAATTTCTACATATGGGGGTCCCTTATACATTCCACTGAAGCGCCGTTTTGGCAGCAATCGCAGGAGAACTGATTGTTTCAGAGCAGGTGAAACAGAAGAGTTCCAGAAGGCTCCATCCAGAACCTTCTCCATTTAACCCTCCTGAGACTGATCCCTTCCACTCTGAGCCTCACCGGACCGTTTTTCTTCAGCTAAAGCAAAATGCCGTTTGAGAAGTCATTAGAAGGAAGCCCTCATGTCTGGGGTTATACTGAAGTATAACAGATTGTTAAGTGGACTTCAACCTATTCGAAAGGCCAAGAGACTGTAATTAGCCCATGTTTCCCTGGATTTAGCTCTAATTGGAGAGGATACCGAGGTTCCCTTCGCTCAAATGCGTGCTAGAGCTGGTGGTCTATCCCATTTCGTTTGTTGTTTGGTTCGTAGCATGCTCAAAATGCCAGAAATAACTACTGCTGCTGCTGCTGCATGCTCCTGTCCTACTTTCCCACGTATTACACTTCTCCCGATTGATCCCGTGGGAGATTGAATTTCGATTATTTTCATTTTTCATTTTCTGCCACGATATTGAATTCTGATCATTTACGAATCGACTACTTCATGGTTTATCAGCAGAAAGCCCTCCCTTTCAGCTACATCATGGTATTCGGGCTCCCAAGTGTCCATTTTCACTATCAGTTTCTTATGGGGAAACTCTCCCAATTGGGTTTTACCTCAGAGAACTCAAAATCATTTCGTAACAATCCTTAAATGCTTCAGTGTATCCACATCAATACTATGTTCCAGTACGACCCTTCGATATTGAGCGTTTCCGCTATAAATCCATCATAAGGGATTACCGTAGTCATCGGTAGCTACAGTATCATATGACACGAAGGTGAAGTGCCCTTGGATTCACTCTGTCAAAGGATGATTGATTGCCGGTGGCTTAAACGAGTACTTAACCTAAATCGCAGTCACCATTGTTCACCATCGCCTGCACCTCGGTCCGTCAAAAGGACGAGTTTGCGGCCGCCTCTCATTTTGAACTGATTTCTTGGCGTAGAACTGAATGGTACCAGTTTTGAACTGATTTCTTGGCGTAGAACTGAATGGTACCAGTTTGGTCCAAAGCTCTGCCCAGTGTTTCGCTTCCTCGTAACCGTACTCATTTGACGCCATTTTGCTCGGCCAGGTGTTTCCTGTCTGCCTCTTGACCTCCTACATACGATCCGTGGCCCTTCACTCGTTTCCTACTTACCAACATTTGCCAATCTGGTTGCCTTAGCTCTAATGTGATGTGACGCTACACCATTTTCTTCTTTTTCCTATTGTAATTCAAGGAAATTTTATGATTTTCCCATGTCCTTGCACATCTGGCACGCTGCCAGATGGTTCACATTCGTTTTTTCGCCTATCCATTACACTTCTTTACGTTCGCACAAGTGAACACATATATCTTCGATCCGTGGTCCGTATCTGTGGGTATGTGTGGGTGTCTGAAGCCACAAAGAAAATCATTCAAGTGACGGAACGGCCTTGAGTAATCGGCACTGAGCAATGAACAGATGTGTGCAGCGTAGCGGAGTGCAGCCAGTAAATACAATACTTCTTGTGCTGTAGTTTTCTCACCCGTTATTAACTTTGGTAATTCAAATTTATCGGTTGAGGACTTTGGAAGCGTTTTGTGCACTTGTGCCCATAGACAAGTGGTCAAGTAATGGTCAGTCATAGAAGTGGAGTCAGCCCCGTAGCTCTATAACTCACCCAGTTCGGGTGTCCAAAATGATAGCGAGCACAAACACATGTTTAAACTGGGTGGACTCTTTCGATCTAGAAATCTACTATACTGAGCGGCTTCAGTTACTCAAGTGGCTTTATGAACTCTTTTTCTCCTGGGGTTCGACTGAAAAACCCCTGAAACCTCCTGAACACAAAATTTAAACTCCTTTTGGCTTAACTGCTAGTAAAGAGCCATAAGCCGACATCACTTGGGGTAGTGTTCAGAGGACTGATGAACAAAATGTCTGGAAAACAAGCTCGTTCCGATTCTAATCCCCATTGACCTTCCAGCGTTAGAAATTTCCTTCTGAGTTGTTAAATTTCCCATATGCTTTCTATCAGCTTAAGCTACCGAACTAAGCTTTTGGATGCAGAAAGCAAGATGTCGTCCGATTGCCGCGCCTCTATTAGGCCCCAACTAGCCCTCAAGCATATTGAAAAAATGCCCTACTCTGAATAAATAGGGCAATTGACCTGCTCCATAGTTGCTGCCTAGATGGTAAACGAAACATTCCGTCGCAGACGGTATTAAATCCAGCACATGTGCTTTGGATCATCGCGCTGGGGGGATCCCATGCTCAACCCTTCTTTTAGTTTCTTTCCCTTTCTTGCACTGTCGAGAAATACAATCGATTTTTTGCGGGGGTTGGAAAGGCAGATTTTTTTTTCAAACAGGATTGTAGATCCATGGCCCCAGTCTTTCCATCGTGTCCACAAAGAGAATTTGACTCCCTCCCATCCCTTTGACTCTCTTCTCTATTCGCTTCTTTCCTGGTTCAGGAATATTGCTAAATAGTACTGTAGATTTGAGATTTTAGCTCTATCCGCTTTGTTGCCCACTCCACCTCAATTATAAGTAGCTAATTGTAAGTATTAGTCGAAGGTCGTAGGTATACTGGCTTACACATATTATTCAAGTTTTTAACGGAGCCCCCTATGTTTCCATCTTTCGTGTTCCGATTTCCGATTCCACTTTTGAAAATCCTTCCGACTCCGTAACCATAGATTTCACTTTAACTCTTCGATGGATGCAACAATGGCCAAATGCTGTTGTTCTCGTCCGGGAACCAGTCCAGGATAAACATCAGTGAAAGCTGGTTGGCCTACACTGGTTGACTCTCGTCCGTCCGAGTTTTCCGCATGATCTGGCACTGAAAAGTGGTTTATTTTTGATTAGCCGCGCGGCTGACTTTGACGGCTGCCGACGCGGATGGCAACGTCGACTGGTCGGTCGCTCGCTACGACAACGCCCCATCGTTTTTAGGCTCATTACGTTTCTTTAGACTTGGCTTACGACCGATGTCTCCGCGGTCGCCGCTCCATCATTGCCGTCCGCTCCGTCTCCGTTAGTCCTCCATTGTTTCTCAGAACAATTGGCGACCAGTGGCTTATTGAAGTACAATTAATTCCCGCGTAGTTCACTGGGTAACTGCCGGTTATTACGTGATGTTTGGCATCGAATTTCAGTTTTGACTATTTAGTTACTTAGCGGTTACCATACTCTTTGTAAGGTTATTGGCCAGCGAGATCTGAGGGTGGGAGGAAGCAAAACTGCGTTGTTCTCAGCTGCCTCAACCCTAAGAACAAGCGCTCTTCAGTGACCATGCACCTACTAGTAATACTTATGGTCCTGGCAGGAAAACACGTAGATCATAATAGTCCAGCAGGTGGTCTGAAGAGAAAGTCCCTGAGGAGGAAATCTGTTCACTGACCAGCTGATGGACTAATTGGTCGCCCACAGTTCAACACTACCTGTAAATCATTCCCATACCCCTCAAGCAGTTACTCTTGGATTCGCCACCAATTTTTTTTCGATTTTTCTATATATTGTTCCAAGAGTAATTGCTGGACAGCCAATCCAAAAAGGACTTCCCTTCAAGGACATCATGCCACTCCACAAGCAATACGTTTAAGAGAGACAACCAAATTTCGCATTCCATTTGGGGGCGTGTCGTTATCCCATTAAGAAGTGTATCCCATTGATGCTCCCAAGTGCTCCCATCTATGTCTCAAATAGTAGATTGGCTTCACTGGATGAAAAGGGTTCTATGAAGGCTCATCACGTGGATGGAAACGGTATTGGTACTTGTATTCCCCATAATGTTTACTTTTGTTTTGTTTTTTGTTTCCATCAGTTATAGTCGACCTGAAATGTGAAATAACTAATAGTAAGTATGCCAGTAAGTATGAAGTAGCAACTGGATTTCTCGGCTACTGCCAGAACCGATTGTCGTCATGGTCCTGGAAGTAGCTGAGAAACTTAGTTGCCACTCAAGGAGTAAGAAACTGCCCTGTCCTATCTATCCCAACCAATGAAAAGTTGCTCTTTTTCCCGAGAGTCGACTTCATTCCGAGTATACTCCCCTTCTCCCCTCTGGTATATGCCTAAACAGAACATTTCTCAAACCTTTTCGTTCACCCCTTTGATAGCCATGACTAAGCAACACCTATTAGAAAAAGCACCTAAAGAGATTCTCCCGAACAGCACGAACAATTGAGGAACAGCTGACGTCTACTCTGCAGGACTTACTTGATAGGCCTCTCGTTTGAACTTGTAGGTGAAGATCCATTTTGAGTTCTTCTGCTTTCATATTTGCCAATTTGATTTCCTCTTCTCTTAGAGTACACATTTTCTCATTACTCGCTCTTTTCAGTTTCTCATTACTTAGCAGTAATCATTGGGTCTATTGAGAATTATGGGGCTGGAGGGAATCGCTCGTCTGCAGCCTCTGATATATTCCAAGCACAGGCCATTAGTTGCAAAACAACTGGCTGTTTCCGGCTTTTTTTTCTGGATTAGTTAAAGACGAGTCGGAGCCAGCCCAGAGTCATTTATTTCGAAATTAGTCGAGAAGCGTTTGACTTCGCGTGGGCACTCTCTGGAT